AGTCTTATCTCCTCTCCTTGGGTTTCGTATCATCCAAGTGTGACACCTCCTTGTTCATTTTTCACCATGGCAATTCCGTTGGTTACCTTCTTCTCTACGTAGATGACATCATCCTCACTGGCAACTCCTCCACTACGTTACACTCTGTCATCTCCTCCCTCAAAGCAGAATTTGCCATGTCCGACCTTGGAGATATCCACCACTTCCTTGGTGTGAATGTCACTCGCACCTCCTCTGGGCTCTTCCTTTCCCAGCAGCAATACGTGCTTGAAATCTTGGACTGCGCCAACATGCTGAATTGCAAACCTATTTCCACCCCCGTCGACACCAAGTCCAAAGCATCCGCTCATGATGGTGATCTACTTGCCAATCCTACCCACTACCGCAGCCTCGCCGGTGCTCTCCAGTATCTCACCATCACCAAGCCCGACATTTCCTATGCGGTTCAGCAAGCATGCCTCTTCATGCACGCTCCTCGCTCCTCCCACGTGCAGCTCGTGAAGCGCATCCTCCGCTACCTCCAAAGCACATCGCACTATGGCCTCCGGTTCTATCGCTCCTCCACTCGCGATCTTGTGTCATACTCCGATGTTGATTGGGCCGGCTGCCCTGACACCAGGAAGTCCACATCTGGGTTTTGTGTGTTTCTCGGGCCCAATCTGATTTCATGATCCTCTAAGCGCCAACATACCGTGTCTCACTCCAGCGCAGAAGCGGAAAACCGCGCTGTCGCCAACTGCGTCGCTGAAACAACCTGGCTTCGCCAACTTCTGCATGAGCTTCACCTTCCACCATCGCATGCCACTGTTGTGTACTGCGACAACATCAGGCCACCTACCTGTGTAGCAACCCAGTTCAGCACCAGCGGACTAAACATGTCGAAATCGACCTTCACTTCGTCCGCGATCGGGTTGCCCTGGGCGAAGCTCGTGTACTTCATGTGCCATCCGGATCGCAGTTCGCCAATGTCTTCACCAAAGGCCTTCCATCAGTGGTGTTTCAAGAGTTCCGGTCCAGTCTGAACATCCATCCGGAAGGAGTTCCGACTGCGCCGGGGGGGGGGGGGTGTTAACATGTCATGTATTGTACCATTGTAACTCTTGTACATGACTCCTACTTTCTAGGATCTTAACCTCCACGACTAGCTCATGGCCTGCGTGCCTGATCTTGTGGAAGGCCCCGGCTATATGTAACCTCTCTCGATGAGTAATACAGTGTGCAGTGCAATATTCATCCTCTTTCTCAAAGAAGGTGGCAGGCGGCGCTGTGCAACGATGTGTCACTGCCAGCCACTCATAGAGGATCGATCAATGTCGCTGTCAGCCACTGCTGGGTGGGCCAACCACCAAAGCTAATTTAGAGGCCTCACAAAAGTTTGAAAAATTGATAATACCCCTTTTCTTAGCTTGATTTGAAAATGGACCTACGAGATTAGGACCTACCTAATTAAACTTGTCAGGTCAAGAGACAACGTGCTCCCTCCGTACCAAAGATAATCCAATTTTTTCCACGCAATATATCCCAGTCACGATCGACCAAACCCCTGTCTGGCAAGTGACAATGACTTCACCACGAGCTCGTGCACGGAAAGCTATACCCCTTCCGTGCCACAAAATTAAAATTAAATTCGTACGTGTGCCTAAAGTCTAAAGATATGTCAAATAACATGCTGGCTCTGCCATCAGGAGATGGTAAGCAAGTAAGCACCAAAACGCTGATGCATAGCGAGGCTCACAACCACAATGATCCGCAGATGATCGATCTCTGGGTTCTCTGCAAACTGCAATGATCTTCCAAGTTACTTGCCCCACAACGGCCGGCCGTCGTCGCCGGCCCCGTTGGCACTGCGCGGCACGTAGTGCGGTCACTGCTGCCGCGTACGTACGCACTCTCGGCGCGTGGTCGCCGGCTCGCTGGCGTCCAAACTGCGAAGTAGGGGTACAATACATTACTGTGCATGGGCATGGGCACGGCGTACGTACGTACTTACGTACGTGCAGAAAAGGCCAAGCGCCACAACGACTGCGGCGCCGTATGCGCCGCGCGGCACGTACGTGAGCTAGCCGTTCATCTTCCTACGTACGGGTGCGTCGTGGCCCCGTCAGCGCAGGGTGGTGGCCGGATCCGAGCCGTGGCAAATCACGTGCCGAGCAGGGAGCCGCGGCCCGACGAGCGAGCGCCGGCTGTCGGTCGGACCCGACATTTGCCCACGCTGCCTTTGCGAGGTGGTAGAGAACTAGAAACCACGAACCACCTCTTGCCCTACGAATTTGGCAGCGGCTCGCCACTCGCCAGTAGCACCGCCATCGACGGACTAGAGACTAGACATTTGGGATTTACTGCCACCGACACAGCTCCATAACCAAGTCTGGCAAACCGTCATTTTAGCGAAGGCAGATTTGGGACGCAGGAAATCACATGTTCTTTTGTCAGAGGTCAGACCAACCAACACATCTTCGTCACGCTCAAGAACATTCCACCGGTGAGTGTACTCTGTTTTGAACCCTGAATTCATACGGCTTGTTGAGATTAAACCCTAACCTCTCAACCCCTGAAATCGGCACCCTGTACTCAGTCATCCCAGTTTTATCTCAACCTTGGATCAGTTTATTATACCTGTTTGACGCGTCCGGAAAGTAACAATCCCAGTCGGGATCACTCTCTACTCTCACTGACTATGTGGGTCCACCTGCCATATTCATCTTTCTCTCCTCCAACCACTATCTCGCATGTCTTGACTAAAGCAAGTACAACTTGCCTAAAGTTTTTTTTTTGCGAAAAAACTTTTCAACTATTCATATTCAATCATGGCAGTACAACGAATACCAGAAATAATAAAAATTACATCCTGATTCGTAGACCACCAAACGACAAAAGAACAAGATGGCTTGATTGGTGATTGTCATAGTAGAAAGTGTTGAAGCAATTGCAGAAGTAAAGTTGGACTTTGGATTGACCGCACAAATCTAGTCATGTGGGTAGTATGCAAGTAAGCTAGCTAGGCACGCGTTGTCCATTAGTAAAGCAACTCAATGTGCTTGCGGGGATTGCTAAATCTTAATCGATTGAGGGCATTTCTAACTAATCCTATATATTCGGTTAGAAAAATAAAAATTTGGTTTACTACTCTAACCGCCACCAAGCCGATACCCAATCGGCGCTAGTAGAGGATAAATTATCCTCAGCCGTACCGCACCTTCCTATATTTATTCCATCATTCGGCGGCCGAGTAAAAATATCATCTCCTCCTCTGCCTCCCGCACCCCACTCCCATGTTGTCCCTCCCCGCCGGCCACCAAGGACACTCCGTAGGCTTCGCCACGGGCCTTGATCACTCGGATTTGTGCCTCCCTCGCCCCCTCGCCGGCGCAGATCTGTGGCTACCGCCACCGCCACCGCCATCGGATTTGGCGCTTCCGACCGCTGGCGACTGCGCCTTGCCATGGATTGGCCGGGTACCGGACTGCACAGCCACTGCAATGCCTCCACGCCACATGCAGGTATTGACTCTCCCTCTAGCTACTTGGATCTCTCCTATCGGTGGTTCGCCGACACAGACATGCCCGGCCATCACCCGGGCTCGGTGCTGGCCCAGCGGCTCATCGGCTCACCGTTGTCAGTCATAAAGTGCGACGACTGCCTCCAGCAGGTGGTGCGCCCAGTTTCTGGCCACCATACCCGAACATCCCGGATGGGTGTCCTTCAAATGCAAAAAAGATAGGGTACGTGCTTCTTTTGATTCGTCACTGGATCCAGCGCAATTTCGATATCCTATTGTTTGCTCAAATTTGTGTGTAGGATGGATGCAAGTTTTTGTATTGGAAAGGAAATTACATTGATCTATTGATAGCACAAAATTTGATAGATGCTCGTGCACACATTGCTAGAATAGAGGCTAGAGATGACACTAGATGCGAAGCAACGTCGAATTCTTGAGCATCGAAGAGGAAAGAAGTGTGCAAGCTCGAGAAGCCAATAGAGAGAATCAATGATGAAGACATAGAGAAGATATTAATCCAACTAGTGGGAGCAGTTATGAAAGTTGAATATCTTTTGAAGTGTCTAATTGTTGTTCTTGTTTTCTTTGGTTTTGCTCTCGTAGCGAAGAATTGGTGAATTATGTACTCCAATATATCAAAATGTAATTGAATGAAATAAAGAAGCAAAGAAATGTGTTTCGGTGGCCGAAAATGAAATGGAAATGAAAAAATTACTTCGCTATATAGAAGGGATCAGTTAGGTCCGACGAAAACTTAGCAGAGTAAGAATACTCTACTAAGGATTTATTCCGTCGGATACTCCGCTATTTTTAGAGGATCGGATAGAAATGCCTGAGATTTAACGAAGTCTTAGTCGATGCTATATCGTGAGATCTTATGTTGAGATCCGTACAATTTTTTTCTTACTTTTTACATGTTGTGTCAATTGACTGAGACTTGGTTAAGTTAACTGAGATCTAGCAACACTCCATGTTTATGTCAGTTTAGGAAAGCGGAAAGCCTACAAATACAAATGGCCATGTATGCCTATCATTTATTTTGAGACGGATGGACTATAAGGCAAACTTGTAGCGCATCGACAGTAGAACGGACTTTGACCGTGTGAGGCAGCAAGCTAGCTAGTCACCAAAACAGCTCGTGTATTTTGTACATGCGAGAAACGAGAGAGAGAGAGAGAGAGAGAGAGAGAGAGAGAGAGAGAGAGAGAGCTGAGTGGTTGAGCTAAACTTGAGTGCTAGTAGAGTAGTAGTAGTTCCGTGTGTGTTTGACGCACATCTCAGAGGAGCCGAGGGGAGTTGAGTGATTCAACTACAACATATTTTCTGCGCACTCGTCCGCTCGAGAGCCCTTGCTCGTGTGTGGACTTGCTTGCTTCCGCTTCTCTGAAGAACTCCTTCGTCCACTCGCGGTCGCGACAATGGCGCGCAGCAGCAGCATATACACGTGAAGTACTGAAGTACATGAACGAGACAGAGGATGTGTGTGCGCGAATTGCGCCTCTCACGTGCCTAGCGGCGCGGATGACCCCACGGCGTGCGCCCGCATCTTCTTGGCGGGCGGCGGGCACTGCGGCACGGCCACGAACACGGTGGCCAGGTCGTGCGGCACCGGGTAGAAGAGCCGCTGCTGGAGCAGAGCACGCTTCCTCGTCGGCGCCGGAGCCGACTTCCGCGGCGCGGGCGGGCACACCGTGGCCGGCAACAGCGCGCTGTCGGCCGTCGTCGGCGTGGTGAAGCTGTTCTCGTCGCCGGCAGCGGCGCAGCCGTCTCGCGGCCCAATTACTCCACCCGTGGCCAGCGGCGTGGCGAAGCCAGCGTCGACGCCGTCGTCTTGCAGCAGTGGCGCCATGGGCAGCATGGCCAGGGAGCCACTCGCCCTCGGCGTGACGCAGCCGTTGTCGGCGGCAGCGTCGTCGCCGTCGTCCGCACCTCCTGCAGCGGCCGATCGCCCGCCGCTCGCCTTGGGTGTGACGCAGCCGGTGTCGGCAGCGTCATCGTCGACCGCCCCTGGCACTTGGGTGGCCCGGGCGCCGCTCACGGCCGTGTGGATCGGCTGGAGCGCCGCCAATTCAGAGATTTCCGCGGCGTCGAGGCCCATGATAGCTGGTGAGCGCGCAGATCCCACTGCTGCTGCTCTAGATCCTCTCTCAAGGATCCAAGAAATAGTTTATGCGAGAGAGAATTGCCCGAGGTGAGGTGGGGAGCTAGCCAGGCCAGTTGTGTGATGTGACTCTGCTTGCTTGCTTGCTTGTGTGTGGTCTTTTGTAGTAGCTTGAGAAAGGATGGAGGCAGGCGTCGTGGAGGTGATGATGGAGGGTAGCCTGGCTAAATAAGTAAAGGAGAAGGAAGCGTAGCGAGGAACAGAATTATATGCAGGCAACAAGCAAAAGGGCGGGCGCA